CACCATTTGACCTTAGAACTGAAGAAGCTTCTCGGATGAGAGGTGAAACGTCTTCAAGCAACTTAAAGAAGTCCAGACGCTTTTCTTTGCAAGCTTCTTTGACTAGATGTAGGCTTATTTTTTGGCTAGTTTAATGTAGACAGCATGTTTGTTTTTCTGTTGTTTTGTGAACAGACGAAGAAAATGTACAGGAACTGTGGATCTGTTGAATTGGCAGCAGTGTATGATTATACTGAAATCTGATGTGAATGTGTTTTTCCTCCCAGCTGGAGAATTTGATGCTGGACAAAGACGGACACATTAAAATAACTGATTTTGGCCTTTGTAAAGAGGGCATTACTCCAGATGCAACAATGAAAACCTTTTGTGGAACACCTGAATATCTGGCTCCTGAGGTAAGGCACTGTCTGGTGACACATTTTAAACACACCTGTGTTGTCAAGCTTGTTTAATAGCTTGTTTAATATCATAGTTTGGTCCCCTGTCTCTAGATTTGGTGCAACTGTAAATCTATTACTCATATTTTATGTGGATAAGAAACTGTCTTGGTTGAGCCATGTAAAGTGTTCTGTTTTTGTTTGTTTTTCCTGTGTAAACAAGGTACGTGTGAGTTGATATGTTGACCAATGTCCAATATCACTAAGAATCATGCTACACCCAAGACACCCAATCACCCAAGTTTGTGAACTTGGGAATGAGGTGATGTAGACGTTTCATGCCATACCATAATCTCAGACTAGTTCAAATCTCAGTGACCTTGACCTCAAGGTCAGAGGTCACGTTTCCTGAAAATGTTGTCAATGCGACAACTTGAGCACAAGCCAACACAGGATTTCCAAATTGTGTCAAGAGGAGTACCACTGGCGACCACCAGTTGGTTTTTTATTTATTTATTTATTAAAACCGCTTTTACCATCAAGCCATTCAACACCTCAACTACAACACTTGAATACCGACACCACACTTCACAGGATGCACACAGAAGCTGTCCTAAAGTTTCTCAAGAACATACTACACTCTGCACTGGTCACTTCATTCTTATTAGTATTTAAATAAAAATAAAAACCCTTACTCCGTCCAATACTGTACTAACTACAACTCTAAAATCTTGTACTGCTCAGTTTGTGCTACTGCTCACTCCTGCCACTTTATCCCATGTGCAATATCCCATTACCCCCATTTCAATGGTCACATTTCTATTTAAGATTTTTTTTATTTATACATTTGTGTATATATTTATATATATTTAGTCTGTTAATATTTGTAATATTTTTACTGTATTATACTGCTGAGTGACTTGTCTTCTGCACGTCAAACACATTTCATTGGAATGTTGACCCTGTGCTAGCTTGCATGTGACAATTAAAACTGAAATTGAACTGAAACTGACTTATATTGGGCTCTACTATAGACAGATGGGCCACACCAGCAGAAGACCACATTGAGGCCACAGTTTGCATGGAATTAACAAATTAGACAGTAGAAGATTAGAAAAACATTGTGTAGTCTGAGTTTCAATTTCTGGTGAATTTTAGCTGGTATGGTTCCTTTTATCAGCTCACTGATATACACTGATATTATATCAGGCACAATTCGGACCCCTTAGTACCAGTTAAGCATGGTTTAAATGGCAGCTCCATTTAAACATGCAGATCACTTATTTAAAGAGTAGGAAGAAAATGATGCATTTGATTTTTTTACACACTTAAGAGAAAAGATTAGCCCTGCTCTTTCAAACAGAAGGGGTGATGTAAAAGATGACTGGTAAGAAGTTTGAACAGAAAAAGAAGAAAAAACATATAAAGAAGAAATATTTTTGACTCACAAAAGTGTGCCATTATTTGCACCAAATGCTATGGTGTGCCAATTCAGAGTTATGGCTTTTTACTGCTGTTGAGAAATCGGTCTCTTCTTCCTCAGGTCCTAGAAGATAATGACTACGGCCGCGCAGTGGACTGGTGGGGTCTCGGTGTAGTTATGTATGAAATGATGTGTGGCCGATTGCCTTTCTATAACCAAGACCACGAGCGCTTATTTGAGCTCATCCTAATGGAGGAGATCCGCTTTCCTCGGAACCTCTCACCTGAGGCCAAGTCCCTGCTGGCTGGCCTGCTCAAGAAGGATCCCAAGCACAGGTATTAGCCCAAACTACTACTCTGTGTGGATTATATTAAAAATGCCTAGTTTACTCTCAAATAATCTCATTTGGACTGACAGGTTAGGAGGAGGTCCCAGTGATGCCAAAGAAGTAATGACTCACAAATTTTTTATCACCATCAACTGGCATGATGTGGAACAGAGAAAGGTGGGGCTTTCTTTTTTTTAACAACTTATTTCTATTTATCAAGCGCAGTCAGACAGTCCAATCAGTCATGTCTTCATTTAACAGGAACAGCAGTTACAAGTGAGTCAAAAATGAAACGATGGATTCTGGCATTCTTGCAGTGTAGCATTCTTGTTGCTCCATAGCAACATGACATGAGAGAAATAAAAAGTAACCAAATTAATAATAACATTCATGAGGAATCCCAACACTCACCAGATGTACTATAAAGTAACCACATTTTTCACACACACTTGAATTTGGGTGAGGTGGAGTGACAAGCTCCTTACACTACGATGACGGTGGATGGCTGGGAACCTTCACAGACACGGATTTTAGATGTTCTCAAATTTTGATAAATGGTAAATGTCCATGGAAAGTAGCCATCAGGCCAATCCACATGTGATAGATTCCATTGATATTAGGTTCTTTTGGTGGTGCAAAGTGTTGATTTTTTCACCAACAACCTTTTGAATTGCAACCAAAAAGTTTGGCCTACTCATCAGGCCATATCAGAGGTTTCCTCATGCTTGTGGAATACTTGATGTATATTTTGCAAATTTTTGCCAGATTTCAATGTTTTTCTTTGTCAGGAAAGGCTTCCATCTTGCAACCCTACCCCATAGTCAAGGCAAATGTAGAATATGGGAGATTGTTTTCACATTTTTAGTTGCAGAAATGTCTTAAATACATAAGGACCTGGATGACTTCTAATTTCCTACCTCACCTCTGTGCTTGTCAGTGCAGCATTTAATATTTTGGACACTAAGATTTTATTACGGAGATAAGAGCATGCCGTAGTTAGAGAATGTAGTACGCTGCAGTGGTTTTAATCAAATCTATTTAATAGACTCCAATTTTTTCATGTTAATGAAGATTGTTCTGTACTTGCAAAGGTTAATCATAGAATTCCAGAGTGTTTCATGCTACGATTAATTCTGTTTACATTATATATGCCTCTCTTAGGCAGTGTCATTCAAAGGCATACGATACATTTTCATTGCTACGCAGCTGATACCCACTGACACACCAATTCGTTAAACTGTTTAAGATAATAAATGTCCTGCGTCTAAATTCTGATTCATTGGTCCTAAAAATCTTGGAAACACAGTGTCTAACCAGATGCATACTTTGGAAGCCATTACCTAGGCCTCCAGTAATACGGTGAGGAATCTTGGAGTTGTTTTTGACCAGGATGTTCTTCATTAAACAAATATGTAGCACTGCTTACTTGATTTTGTGCAGTATCTTTAAAATTAAAAATATTATTTCTGATCTTGTCCTGAAAATGCATTAATGCATTTATTACTTCTAAGCTGGACTATTAAAATTCATTATCAGGTTGTCATAAAAACTCTTTGAAATGCCTTCTGTTGATCCAAAATGCTCCAGTTGGAGTACCACCAGGTACTAGAATGAGACAGCATATTCCTCCCATACTGACTTCACTTCATTGGCTCCATGTTAAATTCAAAGTAAAATTTAAAATCCTTCTCCTCACATACAAGTTCTTAAATATTTAGGCCCCATCTTTTCTTAAAGAACTCATAGTACCCTATCACCATAATAATAGAGCACTTTGCTCTCAGACTCCTGGATAAATTTATAATTAGTTTAATAAGTAGCTCTTTGAAGGAAATTTCTGTTAGCTGTTTCTGCGTAAAGCAAAAAGCTAATTGAACTAATAAAAATTAATACAAATATTAGCGCATGGGAATACAAGTGTTTTTTACTCCTTAGCCATAAAAGGCTGATTGGGTATTGTCATTACAAAATCTTGTGAATGCAATAACTCAAGAAAGAAGTCACCGAGAATTTTCAAATTAATCAGAATTTTTAATTAATCTCAAGTTTAGAGGTCAAGTTTTCTGAAAATCTTGTGATTGTGATAACTTAAAAACAAAGCGACGCAGGATTTTGAAATTGAGACCATAGGTGTATGTGCTACGAGGCTACCACTGGTGGTCGCCAGTATTGCTTAACATTATTGTGAGGCAACATGTTTCTAATTTTAGAGATATTGTGGAAATGCAAGAAACAGCCCTAAATATTTGTTTAATATGCACATTGAAGTATATATCGTAGTCAAAAACAACTCCAAGATTCCTTACAGTGTTACTGGAGGCCAAGGTAATGCCATCCAGGGTAAGTATCTGGTTACACATCATATTTCTAAGATTTTTAGGGCCAAAGACAAGAACTTTAGGTTTGTCTGAATTAGAGGTCATCTAGGTTTTTACACAGTAACTTTAATAACTACAGCATGCTCTGATCTGTGTAACAAGTATTGAATGCTGCATCAAGATAAGCACAGAGATGAGGCCATAAGATGATCATTTGTAACCTTCGTTAACCCTGCTTTTGTACTGTGATAAATTCAGATTTAAAACTCTCCAAATAAACCATTCCTCTACAGATAATTAGTTAGCTGTTTCACAGCTACTCGTTCAAAACCTTTTGAGATAAACAGCCTATAATTAGTTAAGACAGCTGGGTCAAGTAGTGGCTTTTTACCCCATTTCCGCAAAAGGGTATTGGGGTAATGTCATCACCTCACTGGGCAGGTCGGCAGGCTGGTAGCATGTACACCCAAGTTTGTGAATATGATAACTCAAGACCGAAGTGATGTAGGAATTTTAAATGGATACCCTAGGTATGAGTTATGCCAACTGCATTGTAGACCCTCCTCTACATGCATGTTATAAATCCAGCATGTTACCAAGTGATATCTGTCTCTTCCAATCCCTGGTACAGCTGACCCCCCTCTTCAAACCGCAAGTAACATCAGAGACAGATACCCGGTACTTTGATGAGGAGTTCACAGCACAAACAATCACACTCACTCCCCCAAACAAGTGTAAGTATCTTCTTGTTGGACCCGTCAGCACTGATCCATCATTATTCAAAGTTAATATCACGTTTCTTGGTCACTGACTTAGATTGCCTTCTTGTTACAGATAACAGTCTGGACTGTGAGGACCCCAGCCAAGAAGCTCATTTCCCCCAATTCTCCTATTCTGCTAGCATAAGAGAGTGATAGCATCTCTGCCACACACACACACACACACACACACACACACACACACACACACACACACACACACACGTGTATAAACACCTTGGTTACAATCATACAGCCATAAAAATAAGTAGAGCTTTCATTTTTAAAGAGGTGTTACTCTTAGCACGATTTCAGTGCCTTGCCTGGGAGCCTTATTGTTAAAATCTGTCTTTGTCCACAGAAAGGAAAAAGCCTATCCACAGTGGTTATACTGTAACATAAGAACTTCACATAGCCATCAGTGCAGTTTAACAACATAATCAAGACCATCAGACCTACAAAGATGGTGCTGCTGTTTGTACCATTCTTTTTTTCTTTTTTTTTTTATATTCAATGAATAAGCCATGCAACTCCCCATGACACTTGTAAGTCCTCTAATTCAATCCTGGCTGTGACCTTTGGTGAAATATGTGAAGAAGGGAGGAGAGCAGCAGTTAATCTTACTATTACACCAAAAAATCCTGCATGTCTGTTTTTTGAACATTTTTTTCTTCTGTATTATTAGCTCATTGAGTATTAAGGAATAAATTATAATATTATACAAATGGAAGGATGTGTACTGAACTCAATCCTTGTACAAGCTAACTGCAAAAAATGGACATTTGTCACTTTTTATTACTTTGTGCTTTAGAATTTTGGTCTCCCATGTGTTAGATATTTGTAGCCTTTATCATTTAGCATTTTTGGTCCCCCAGAACACAAGTTCACTTGCTGAACATTTTACATCAGAGATGTCAGACTCATTTTACATCGAGGGCCACATACAGCCCACTTTGATCATATGGGGACCATACAAGTGAAACTGCACTTCTTTTCAGCATAAATATATTTAACTGCACATTTAATCCCTGAGATATCTTAGTATACAATAAAGAAGTGTGTTTTCAACAGAACATCTCATTATTTCTGCATGATATTTATATTAAATTATAGAAAAGGTTCTGGTAGCTCACTGCCCAGACTGTCCCATATCTGTAAAACATAAATCATTTGTTTGTTGAAATTTTTTTTCTTTGGTTTGTTTAAAAATTTAGTAAAAAAAAAAGTTAAATATAATGTAAAAACGTTTTGATGCATGCTCAGTATCCAGGTAAGTAAATCCTAAAGGTTGATTCTGTTCATCTCTATGTAGTGTGTTCAGTGGGAGAAACGTTTCATCACTCATCCAAGTGACTTCTTCAGTCTCAGCTGACTCCAGGTTTCCCCAACCTTATAAACAGTACATTTGCACAATCACTGAAACTCGCCCACTAAATAAACAATGGGCTGTGAGGTCAGTTCCTTGATCTTTAATATGCAAATTTTCATGACCATTGATTAATGGCCATGAGTAACATTCACAGAGAGTTAGGGAATGCCTACAATCACAGCATTGTAAGATATGGAAAGATGTACCCTTAGGCCCCCTCCTCGATTCAAAGATGATCTTTCTATAGCACTTTCTAGTCTCTACTCTCACTGACCACTCAAAGCACTTTAGAATATAAGTCTCATTTTAACTACACATCTTACAACTAGTCATTTAGCATCAGATCCTTAATATGATCACTATCTGAGAGGCCTTTCAGAAGATGGGTAGAGATTATCACTCTGTGGATAATAGTTCAACAGAAATAAAAATTACATTTCTCAACAAAAAATTGCAAGGGCCGAGGCTCAGTCCCCAACACCCACAATGTCAAAGGTGCAGATAAAATTACTATTATAAAATGTTAAAATTGAGCAAGACAGACAGCAGTTAATGGGGCCACTGCAGCAACCTCACCACTAGGGTCACGTGGTAATGCAACACCCAGCAAAACCACGTGACTGGCCTTACCCACTGCGACCTACGTGACCCCCCTACACCACAGGGGTGTGAGTGATGTGTGATGGGCTGGGATCACAAGTTGTATGCCACAAATGTAAAAAAAAAAAAAAAAACGATAATGAAATTTACTACATGTAGACATATTCAGTTCTTTATAACTCCACAAACCTCAGTTCAATTATGTATTACAATTTCTCAAGTAACATAATTTGTTGGATGGCCATTTATCCAAGAATTATTTAGGATGTTGGGGTGCAACATCTTTACCAGGATTTTTCAAAGATGTAGTATAACATTTTCAGTAATTTAACCACATAGAGGCAGTCCACCAACTCAAAAAGCAATTCAAGTGGCATTATTCAACACAGGCATAAAAAATCGGACTGGCGCTTCATACTTCTAGACAAGAAGCAAACTGGTACGAGTTTTTGAATTCATACAAACCCTCCCTTTATTGTTCCACTCAAGTGTCCTTCTGCAGGTTTTTGGCTGCTAATCTACTCTTTTACACCACTTCCACTTTCCCATACTACAAAACTGAATTCTGACATCATTGCTGTAGTCCAATTATTTTTCTACCCACTTTCTTTAAGCAAGTCAGCCTCCACTCTGCATGCTTTAAATTGCACCACTGCTGTATTTCATTAGCCCTTGCAGACTCCAGTTGACCCATGGTGTGTGTGTGTGTGTTTTGTTTTGTTTTTTTGGTGGGGGGTCATTACATTGGATACTTTATTAGTTTTTTGTTTGTTTGCTTGCTTTTAGAAATTAAATCAAAATTAAATTCGTTACATTCCTCCAAAGTGCTCAGTGGTCGTGCGTTTGGTCAGGATTGATGAATAAGAGAGTATCTAAGTTGTATGTCAACTTTGAGATGATAGCCCCTTATGCATGCAGATTGATCTTCAGTAAACTACCTGAAGAAGCGTAATTAAATGCCCAAATGGTCAGAGTGGCAGCAATTAACTCATATCACGTTCAGAGGATGTAAGAATTACATACTCAGATAACACTGCATTTCTTTCTGCCATCTCTTTTGCAGAATGTCGGGGGGGCGTGGCTTCGGTTTGCACACATGGGATTGTGAGGCTCACAGTTCTTTCCCCCAGCAAGAAATATGTTGCTGTGAAAAAGCCACGCCTCCATGAGCTGCCTCACATGTTGCCACACACATCCACTTCTCCTATGCTGCATTCAGGTTTTGTTGGGCTGTCAAAAAGCAGTGATATTTCTGTTGTTACTTTCTGTTCTACACTAAGTGCACTGAATGTTATTGCGCTGATTTAAAAGTTACATGACTGCATCATAAGTAATGATAACAATAAACATTGCCAAATGTAACTGGTGGGGCACTTTCCACCGGACCACACTCCACTTTTTTCTCCTTTTTTTTCTTACAAACTTCCAGTATTGTTTGAAAAACATACAGTGTTGGGGAAACTAAATTGCAAGATATTACTTTATGGTGGATGATGCTTAATAACTGCAAAGCAGCTATAGGGAAAGATTTTATTTAAAGCTCCTTAGTTAGAATGTTGAGTGTCAAGGTTGATTTGTAACAGAAGCAACAAGAGTGATAGGGAGCATTTACAATATGGTAATGAGACCTGCTTTGGTGTATGGTTTGGAAATGGTGAAACTAACAAAAAAAACATGGGGTGGAGGCCCCATCTTATCTTAATGACTTTCTAGTCACCCCATTAGAGCACTTTGCTCTAGCACTGCAGGCTTACTTATTTTTCCTAGAGTATTTAAAAGTAGAATGGTAGGGAAAGCCTTCAATTTTTAGGCCCCTCTTGTATGGAACCAGCTTCCAGTTTGGATTAGGGAGACAGTGATCATCTTCTTTTTAAGCCTAATCTTAAAAGTAGAGCTAGTGTCTGAGAAAGTTCAAGGATGTAGTGAAGGAGGACATGCAGATGGTTGGTGTGACAAGAGGCTTCTAGAGATACGTTGGTATTAAACCATATGACGATTGAAACACCTGCTGTGCTGATCCCTAAAGGGAGCAGCTGAAAGAAGGAAAAGAAGAAGGAAAAGCAGTTTGACTGCTGTGATTGTCTAATGAATGTATCATCTGGACATGTTTTCAGAGCACCAGTGATGAAAGTGAAGGGAAGCACACCTGTCAAAAGAGGTTTCAGTAACAGCAAAGAATCAATTTCAAAATAGAAACCCTAAAAGTCCTTACTTTTCATGGTCAGTAGTTATTTTTAGTTTTAATTCCAGAACTACTTGCCTCGCTATGAATGTGCTTGACTTAATACTAATGCTAGTCAGTAACACTCCTCAGCAGTTCATCTGAAGCTACTTGTTTTTTGCGAATGAGTTGATAAAAATAAGAGGGCTGTTCAGCAAAGTGGATGAAAGATCTAGAAGAGAATAATTTTTTCTACTGATGGAAACAATTTAAACATGCTTTCCAAGGTGAGCTTTGTTTTAATTCGGTGGTTGGTAAGGCAGGTAAAATACCCACATGAAGAGTTTTTATGAGTTTTATAACGTGTATTTTGTAAACACAAGGTAGAAAATAAAACAAAACCACAACACGTTTGTCAGGATATTAAGATTCAATAGTACTTTTTTTTTATTATAGTGAAGATTTAAAAGTAAGACAATCACTGAATTAATGTAAGCTAAGAATGCTACTACGCTTATTGCTTTCTCAAATGTCAAATTACTTTGAAACACATGAACGTCTGATTTTGTATTTACGACAGCAGTTAAACACACCATACTAGCACCAAGCTCAACCCTCACTTGGCCTGTCCGGCGTCACGACTAATCACGTATCTGTGAGGGAAAGGCTAAACCGTTGGCGTTACGTCAGCATCTAACTCTTCTGTGGCTGGCTACGTAAATGAACGTCATGGATGCCTTCAGTACACGGTTAGTGTGCCTACGTTCCTTATAGCAGGTTTTCATGCATCACTTCAGCAAAGTAGAGCTTTGATTTGTTTTTTCCTGCTACTGGCAGAGGCAAAGGATATATATTGTCATATATATGATTCTTCTACCCAAAATAGATTTTTAAACCTAGTACTGGCGGACTTCTGCTACCAGGAGGGAGCAATTTTCTCTTGAGATAAAGGTGCTGACCGGTGAGTAAACTGTACTGAGTTCCACATTTGAAGGGTAACTGAAGAGTTTTAGTCTGAGCCTCGTCTCAGTTTTTTCTAATATTGCGGAGTCAGTTTTATTAAATGTTTTATGGAAGTCGTACAGTCAGTGAATGGCGAGTTTCCATTTGGATTTATAACAGGTTCGCGTTTTTCCACTGAACAGCGCAGGCATTGTATTACATAATGGTGTTAGGGGTGGGCTTGTACAGTCTGCCATAGCGTCTTATCAATTTCCTCCTGCTGCAGGCTCGTCAGCTGTTATGTTTGCACAGAGTATATCAGAAAACAACATGATGATGAAAAATAGACTATTATTGTCCATTCTTGCAACTTTTCAAAGCTGACCACTTACAAGTCGTTAACTTGCAGTCTTTTTTTTTTTTACGTCATTCATCATACAGTACACTGTTATACTAAATAGACTGTATCAGCCAAGCCTTGCTTTAGTCATGCAGGTGGTATTCATATTGTGCTGTCCTCCAGAAATGACAGAAATTGTTGATATTATGAAAATTTATTGTAATAGATTTTTTTTTCCTCTTGCAACGTGTCTCCTTGCTGTTCTAAACCACAAATTGCACAGATATTTGCCAACCAAGACTGACTTATTCCAATTCTCTGTGAGCTTGCATCTTAAAGTCTGGCATCATTGTAATCCTCAAAATACAAATTTAAAGACTTCACAAACTTCAAATACAGTTGATGGGTTTCTTGTATAAAAAAAACCCAAAATAGCCATATAATACAAACATGTATTATGTGACTACTTGAAGTAAACATTTTGTGTAGATCTATAATTTCAAGAAGAACTGGAGCATATTTGTACAGTCCTCGATTCAGAAAAAAAGAAAAAGGTTTTCTGAACCTACTTACTTTGTTTCCAGAAGAGCTACCTCTGTTACAAGTTAAGCTGGTTGAAAGCAGTGGGAAACATCCCTTGTGGCAGTTCATGTGATTA